TGGTAGTGGTAGTGGTAGTGGTAGTGGTAGTGGTAGTGGTAGTGGTAAGAATACCTGAGGCGCTCCAATTATTACTGAGGTAGGCTGGTTAGTAAAGGGCTGGTAACCAGGTAAATATCCTTCACCAGGAACGGAAGAGCAGGGCTGGTTGGTATGTTGGATGATGATTGTTCCAGACTGTTGGTTAAGCTGTCGGTCCCTCCGTGCCGCAGCAGCAGCTCCTGAGATAGCCAGGCTTGCACCAAGGCGAAACAAGTGATGGAGAGGCATGGTAAGGAAGCGGTTTTACACTATGATAAATATGAAATGTTACACATTAAACATTTAAAGTAAATTGGCCTTTCTGATTGTTCGATTTGATCCCACGAGTGCGTGAAAATTAAGAAATAATTCTAGTAACTAAGAAAAAAAAAACAGAGCTTGTAAAAAACATCAGCATTAAATTCAATGTAATTTTGAAAGTAAAATAAATAAATAAATAAATAAATACAATTTAAAAAAATCAAGCAGTTTCAAAACAACATTTTTTTTACCATTACTACATCACGAAATATTCAACTGTTCATAACTCCTGTATTAATATATTAAATATTATTCTTAGTAATGGCAAACGATTTTGTTTTCATTTCAGAAACATGAATATATACAGCTATTTTGCACATATGTTGAATACTGAATGCTGCATATTAAATAGGGCATTCAAAGACCACATGGCTTTGAATGTCTCGTTAATTTGAAATAAAAAAATGAACATATACAGCGCGATTTGCTCTTTATATGTAGCTAGTGTATTGCTTCGGATGGAATGCTCTAAAAATAACTAATTATAATTATATTTACTTTAGACAACATTAGATAAGAAATTCATTTCGGTATTCAGATATATATTTAGTAGCCAGTATTCAGTATTTGAAGTTTTCGTGTTCTGTTTAAATAGATGTATTATCAAACATAGAAAATATCTCGCACGCCACATCTATTGTACGTATTGTTGTATAAATATAATACATACATATCATGAAAATAATAAATGATGATTTTGTAGTTTGAAATAGTAACACTTCAAGTGTTAGTCATTAAATATAGATTGCCGTAATTGATTACTTGTCTGACTATCGTTGAGACAAACAAGGTCGAGTAAAGCGTTAGTTTTTAATCAAAAGGGCATTTTAAACAAAGCCTCAGATATAAAAGTAAAACGAAATCTTATTTGTTGGTCGTTGGAAGAATGATTTTTTTATTGCTTTTTGAAGACGTTGCCGATGTAAATTTAAGAAAAAAGAATTTTTGGATGATGTTTTTTTTACTAAAAGGCACGTGCCACGTTAATCTTTGGTTTAGTTGAAACTTTTATTTTCCCAAAATATCATTGTGCTTGTCGAAAAAACGAAAAGCTTTCATGGCATTGAGCAAAGGTCAAATATTACAATTTATCGAAACCTAATAGAAATCGCTTCCTTTTTTTTATTTAGTAGTATCTATTAACATTTTAGGCTCAATATGGTAATGAGGTGGTGTTCTCTTACGCGTGACAGTTCTTAGCTTTTAGAACATTTTGAATGTTTGATATCTTTATTCTAGTTGGGTTATAGGTTTTGGGCTTTGAGCTTTGAGCACAAATTTACATTGAACTTTGTAATGTAACTTTGTAAATTGTCTTATTAAGACAAAAAAAAAAAAAAAAAAAGGAAAGGAAAATAACATAATCTTAAATCTTAAATATCCAAACAATAACATTTAAGTAAATGATGCGCTGATATTATGAAAAATGTATTAATGTAAAAAATAATCTGATCAGAACACGATTCATTTTATGGTAATCTACGAATATTATAAACGTTGAATCGATCGGGTTAGGTAAACAATAGCGCCTTTCTATCCCAAAAATTTAGCCATAGTTTTTTTCATTCGCTTAACTGTTTTTCGCTAAATTGATCTTTCATCGATTATAAAGTCTTTCTTATATCGATTGCTCTATATTTCAATACCTTTTTTTTCTTTGAAATTGGAAGTCTTTCGCTGCTCATTCGGTTTCCCTTTTGGGTGACAACCTCTACTAGATTTTCCGTATTGAAATGATGTTGCAGACTCACAAACCGAGCGATGAGACGTGACGTCAATCAAAACTATTTCGATTTATTCATTATCGGTTGACTGAATTGACTTCCTGTTTTGCGAGAAGACAGTTTCAAATCATAAAGAAAGCTAATCGAAAACTCTCTGAAAGGCAGTGTTTGTCTGTCATTGTAACCTGATAATGAGATTCTTTCAATTGATTGATACCAAGCAATAGAATACAGTGCAATGAAATAGCAATGAAAGGCAGTGTTTGCCTGTCATTGTAGGCTTCAAGGTAATGAAATTCAGAGAAGAGACTTCAGGTACCCACGCCCATAATAACGCTTGGGCTGCCTGTGGTTAGGTGGCAGAACTATAAGATCCCTTTGCTCTTGAAAATTGAATCTTTTTTATATGTAAAACGATTGTATAATTAATTCCTGCCATCTAACATGGCCGCCGTCACGCAATGGTGCAAAAACTCTATTCAACCCATTGATACCAAGCTATAGAATACTCTACGGTTGATAGTAAATGACGGGCAATAGTAGTAAAGTGTGAGCAGAATTAGCCTGGTTTTCGCGCCTGAAATGCGCCTGAAATGCGCCTGAACCGATCACGATCCTGATTGGTCCACTCAATAAGCAGGAAATGACGTCAGGATGGCGCCTGAACTCATTAGCATTGCGCCTGAACCATACTCGCTTTTGATTGGTCTTGAACAGACAGGAAACTACGTCAATGCCATAACATTTTTCATAGATTATCAAAATGGCGGGAACGAGTCTTCAGAAATTATCATTTTGATAGGTTTTGTATTAAAAGGCGCTAATAGAACAATCAACCCATCGTGATTCAGCAAAAATTATACAGACATTGGGTGTGGGGTGTTTGTACATGCGTCTCGTGTCAATGCAAATGTATAGCCTATAAAAAGGGTGGAGTAGCGATTGCCCAACCTATTTCG